ATTTTTAGTAGAGATGGGGTCTTATTCTTACTCAGACTGGTCTCGAAGTCCTGAGCTCAAGCAGTCCACCCACCTGAGCCTCCCAGAGTGCTAAGATTATAGCCGTGAGCCACCATGCTTGGCCTCCCTTATCATTTATTATAATGTGAGTCTGACGTCAATGAACTCCCCTGATTTTCTTTTGAATTTAGAAGTTTTTTTCTTTTGGCTTTTTAAATATGTTCCTCTGCTTTCTTGGTCTCTCCATGCTTTCTGATGATAAATCATTAATCATTAAAATTGTTTCCATTGTATGTAATCTTTTTTTTCTTTTTGGCAAGTTTCAAGATTGTCTCTTTATGTTAGATTTTCAGTGGTTTGATTATGGCATGCCTAGGCATAATTCTCTTCAGAATTCTCCTATTTGGTAAATGCTGATCTTCTTAAGTATGTAAATTCATGCTTTTCATTATTTGGGGGAAGTTTAGGGCCTTTTTCTCCCTCAAATAGTTTTTTAGTCCCATTCCACTCTCTTCTTGCAGGACTCCAGTTACCAAAATATTAGGCCTCTTGTGGTTGTTCTGTGGGTTCATTTATTTTTTCATTTTTTTTTCTTCTTCAGACAAGGTTTGTATTGATTCTATCTTAAGGTTCATTGACTCTTTCCTGTCATCTCAGTTCTACTTACAAAGCTTATTTATTCAGTTTTTAAATTTTATTTATTTATTTATTTAGAGACAAAGTCTTACTCTGTTGCCTGGAGCTAGAGTGCCATGGCATCAGTCTAGCTCATAGCAACCTCAGATTCCTGGGCTCAAGTAATCCTCTTGCTTCAGCCTCCCAGGTATCTAGGACTACAGGTCCTAATGCGTGGCTGATTTTGTTTTGCTTCTGTTCTTAATAGAGCCTGGGGTCTTACTCTTGTTTAGGCTGGTCTCGGACTCCTAAACTCAAACGATTTGCCCTCCTGAGCCTCTGAGAGTACTAGGATTACATGTGTGAGCCACTGCACTTGGCCTTAAATGTCAGATAGTATACTTTTTTAGTTTAAAACTGCCATTTTATTCTTTTTATATTTTCAGTCACTCTGCTGATACTTCCTGTTATTTTATTTATTGTGAGCATATATTTCTTTGCCTCACTGAGGTTCTTGCCTCTTAATTCTAAGATCTGTGTCATCTCAAGGTTGGCATCTGTTGATTATCTTTTCCCTTGAAAATTGATAAAATTTCCTAGCTTTTTGTAGATGTAGTAATTTTTCAAATATCTTGGACATTGCTAAGGCTATGTTGTGTAGACTTAGTAATTTTTTTACATTTCTTCTGAGAGTATTGGTGATTTTGTTTTAGTAGGCAAAACAACTACTGATTAACTCTGACTGTGCCCTGTCAGGCTTGCAGTTGGCCACACCTCAAACCTCAGTAGTTTGCTGCTGCTTCTTTTTTTTTTGAGACAGAGTCTCAAGCTGTCATCCTGAATAGAGTGCTGTGGTGTCATAGCTCACAGCAACCTCCAACTCAGGCTTAAGCAATCTTCTTGCCTCAGTTTTTCTTTTCTTTTTGGTAGAGATGGGGTCTCACTTTTGCTCAGGCTAGTTTTGAACTCGTGAGCTCAAGCTATTCACCCGCCTCAGCCTCCCAGAGCTCTGGGATTACACTGTGCCCAGGCCTCTGTTTGCTTCCTGAAGCCTTAGTTGCAAGCCACATGCAGTTCCCTCTGCTTATACATGACTGAGGAGTTGGCTGAAGATCAGGGCTGAGTTTAAACATATTAGTCATTCTTTTTGGCTTTCTTCTTTCTGAAGTTCCCCTCTCATTGTCCAGCAGCTTTCTCTATCCTTTGGCCTAAAAGTTGATGGCTTATTTTCTTTTTTGTTTTTCCTCTCAGAGTTGTAATTACTCAGCTTTGCCATTGCCATGACTATAGTTACCCTTAGAGCAAAGCAAAATGGCTTTTGGTTGCATCCTGTACACACCTTTAAAACTACCTGCTTCTTTTTTTTTTT